CCAAATTAAAGGAGCATTTATAATTTTTAAGTGTCTATATAAATAAATTTCGGTGAGTTTGTAAGCTACATCGTAAACGACGGCTAAAATTCAAAATTTGAGTGAAATAGGACAAAAAATACTAATTTTGTATAATTATTGCATGTAAATTTGAAATAGGACGACTTATATGATTAAATCTCTAAACAAACCAACATATAGGACCAAAATTACAGTTTTCAATGGTTCAATTAATCTTGTTTCTCTTAAATTCTTATATATATAATAGAAAATCTCAAGATATGAATAAATTATTAAGTTATAAATTAAATTAACTCTAATGAACTCTAAAAATATATTATTTTGTATATTATACATGAAGTTCTACCAAAATTTACATTGGTATACAATGTTCAAAATATATTTCAAATAACAAATAAATAAATAAATAAATAAAATGAATCAATAATTGAAAAATATTAAGTTTAGCGAATTAATTGGGTGATCCTTGCTAATTATTTTAATATTCACAGTTAAAATCAACCTAATTCGGTGATAAGCTAGTATGAGCAATCTTAATACATTTATAATTAATATCAATAAACATCCTTTCAATAACATATTTGAATAACTTCTAAAATAACCAGACATATTTGACGACAATAAAAACATCATCATACATGTGTTTCATAAAATAAAATACAGAAAACATAAAAGTAAAAATGCAATGTGGTTAAGGACGGAAATTGGAATGGAATTTTAGAATTCCGTCAATTCGGTCCAAAAATACCGAATTTGCAACAGTAGTTTTCATTCCGATTTATGAAGTTCTAATTTCCAAATTTTCGGATTTTTTTATTAGAATTGAAATTGTATATAAAATTACCGGAAATTTAGATTTCCGATTTGATTTTAGTTTTAAATATTTTGATTGTGTTTTGAAATATATAATATAATTTATGATATACTTTTGTTATCCCACAGTATAATTTGTGATATACTTTTGTTATTCCACAGTATAATGTATGTTATATTTTACATGACAAATACGAATCCCCACGGACTAAATTCCAAAATACTTTTGTTGACAAATATTATACTAGTCACTAAATATTTTATATTTTATTGAATTTCGTTCAAATATTTTATTTGATCATTCATATAACACAATAATTAGCAAGGTTGTAAAAATCGGTAATCGCGTTCGAGTCGGTCAGGCACCGACTCACGATTAATGGGTGCGGCGGTGATTAATCGGTGATAAATCAGAAATAAATCGGTTTTTAAAATTTAATATAATATATTTGTAGATATTATTTATAAATACTCAAAACATAGATAAAAAATATTTAAACATAGTTATATCTCGATCATGTATATATTCTAATAACATAATAAAAGTTTAATAATAATAAGATCATAATACATAAATATCCTTATAAAATATAAATAAAAAGGCAATTATTTTTTAATTTACATACATTCTTGGCATACATCATTAGTTCTTTAACAATAATAATTAACATAAACAAAATAAATCATAAACTCATTTTTTTTATTAAAATCCCAACTTTTATTTTGATTTTTTTTTAAAAAAAAAAAAAAAAAAAAAAAAAAAAAAAAAAACCGATTTTTGACCGATTTTTTGCCGATTTTTGCCACCGAAGTTTGACCCGCCTTAAAGGTTTGACCGCCTCGGACCGCCTCAGACCGCCTCGGACCGCCTCACAGGCAAAAAACCGATTTTTCAAACCTTTACATTAAAATCGTAAAGGTTTTGGACCGCCTCCGCCTCGGCGATCGATTAATCGGCCGCCTCGGCCGATTTTTAGAACACTGATAATTAGTAGCTTATTTTATATAAAATTAATTATATATAATTTTGTTTATGGGCAAATGACAAATAGGCACATGACCAGAGCTTTTAATTAAATAAGGGACATCCAACATTTTTGTATTGCAAATAAATCCACCTCATTTAAACTTATTTATAAATAAGGAAAACTCTTTTATATATACCAAAATTACCCCGAACTCCTTGAAACCCTAATGCAACTCCAATTTCATGATTTACACTCCAATTTAGCCAAGTTACCCAATTTTGATCGCTACCGCCAGTCTCTGGTGTTGACCTTTTTTCCTTCTGAATTGTTTTTTCCGGCAGGTCAATCACCGGTCTACGGCGTTGACTTTTTTTTCTATTTTTTTTTCCGGCAGGCCAACCGCCTTTGACTTTTTTTTTTCCTTCAAAAAAAATATTTTCATTAATATTACTGTCTTAGCTTGTAATATTAATGTCGTAGACAATAATTTTGCTGTTTGAAAGAATAATTTTATTGTATTAATTAATTTTATCGTTTTGACCTGCGATTTTGTTGTCTTGGCATGTAGTGATATCACTGTTTGGGACAGTAATATTGGTAATATTACTGTTCGGGAAAGTATTATTAGTAATATTACTGTTCAAGACAGTAATATTGAACAATAATATTACTGTTTGGGACAGTAATATTAGTAATATTTCTGTTTTGACATTCAATATTACTGTCTCAGACAATAATTTTATTATTAACAAAATTATTTAGAGAAAAAAAAAGTTTCGAAAAAAGAAAGTTAAATCTATTTCATGTGTGCATCTGTCTGCATTTAACTCCCTTGTAATAAACCTATATGCCAATTTTCTTTTTTTCATACTTGTAAAACAATTCATAAAATTATATTTTAATCAATTAAATTTTAAATAGTGTACATCATTGAATAAAGGGCAAATTGCAGTTTGCCCCCTCAAAAAATGCCAGTTTTGCACTTTCCCCCCTCAAAATAGAAAAATGAGACTATCCCCCTTAAAAATATATAACTTGGTGCACTTTGCCCCAAATGTGTATTCCCGGTTTATTTCTCACCGAATGAATTGTTTATATGTCATTTTACATCTTTCTCTTGAGAATCCTCCTTTCAGAGTTAAGTAGGGTTCCCAAATTAACAAAATTATCTTCCCAAATTGATGATATTCGCTTCCAAGTTAGACGAAATTTTCTTCCAAATTAAACAAAATTTGTTCTTTGTTCTTCTTAATCATTGTAATGTAGGGTGAAAAAAGATTAAATGACATTTAAAGCCTTAAAAGATGAAATTGCGCTTCCAACTTACTCAAATCCGACAAGAATTAGCTCGAAAATACACATTTGGGGCAAAGTGCACCGAGTTATATATTTTTAAGGGGGAGAGTCTCATTTTTCTATTTTGAGGGGGGAAAGTGCAAAACCAACATTTTTTGAGGGGGCGAAGTGCAATTTGCCCTTGAATAAAATAGTAAGAATTACATACGTACGCAACATAAAATTAAGAGTTAACTGCAAAAAATCCCCTAAACTTTGGACGTTTTTGCACTTTATCCCCTGAACGGAAAAAAGTTGCACGGGCATACCTCAACTTACTAAATTGTAGCACCGAAACCAAAATTGTCCATTTTTAGCCTAATTGTTCCCGGAATTACACACGTACAACTCCCACGTGTAAATGGAGGGGCAAATTCGCCACCTCACAGGATTTTGGAAAAAAAAGAAAAGAAAAAAAGAAAAAGAAAAAAGAAAACCCACAACCCCATCTCCCAAACACCACTACCACCACCATCTCTGCTCCGCCATCCTCTTCATCTTCACAACCCCATCTCCCAAATACCACTACCACCATCATCTCTGCTCCGCCATCCTCTTCATCTTCTCCAACCAACAGCCCACCTTCCAATTAAGCTTTAAGCTTTTTTCTTTCATTATTCTTCAAGCTCAAAACTTGGGCGAAGACCCACCAAAAATCAGCCAGATGCTGTTGTAGGGAAAATCAGACCCAATGGAAAATATTGACGGAGTGAGATTAATGACCACTTTGAGAAGCATGGGCGCGGAACGACGGCGTTGATTTCGGTTAGGTCGCCGCTCTATTCGTTGTGGATGAAGGGGGTTGGAAATTAGGGGGCGGCTTCCGGCTTGTGAATTTTGTTTGGCCGTAGTCGGCAGCCGCAACTCCGACGATTTTTCTGCTTGAATTTCGTTGCAAAGTGGTAACAAAGGGCTGGGAAAACGAAATTCGTTTGAGGTGGAACACAAGGCTGCAATTCACAAACGAGGTCGGGCGGCGGAGGTCGCGGTGACAATGGCTGAGAAAAAGGAAAAATGAGGTGGGGCGGTGACCAAAAAAGTTGGGAGAAATAGACTACGCCGGAGTGGAGGTGGCGGCGGAGGTGGTGGAGATGGGGGTGGTTGGGTAGAGAGAAGAAGATCACTTTTTCTTTTTTCTTTTTAGTTTTCTGATTTTATAATTATTTGTATTTATATATATATATGTAATATATAATATATATATATATATTTGTATATTGTTTTGTTAAAAATGAACTAAAATTTATTGGAATAAAATAAAATAACGTTAAAAAAGTTTCTGAAATATTACAAAATTTTTAAATACATAGCGAGAAATCATATGATAATTAAAAAAAAACGATTTGAATATTATATCCACTTTTTTCCTTTTTCTTTTTAAGATTTGTTAATATTAATGAAAAAAAGAAAGAAAAATAGATGTAAGAGGAAAAGACCAATTTACCCAGCTTAAAATCATGTGCTTCTCACGTGTTATGCCTTCCGGCCATTTATTTGCCAAAAATGGACAATTTCAGCTTCGGTGCTACAATTTATTAAGTTGAGGTATGCTCGTGCAACTTTTTTCCGTTCAGGGGGTAAAGTGCAAAAACGTCCAAAGTTTAGGGGATTTTTTGCAGTTAACCCTAAAATTAAGTGAAGAAATTCATATACATAAAAACTGCTCCCCCTCACTCCGGCGACTCGCTGCCACCACGCAGACCCGGACCCAGAATATTCAGTCCAAGATCCAAGAAATATTGAAGCCGGCGCTCAGTTCCACCATGACGGAGGGCAAAATTGTCAGCTGGGTCAAATCTGAGGGTGTCTGTGGTGGTTGCTGAGGTATTAATCTCACTTTCCCAATCTCAGAAATCCCCTGCCCCTACCCCTGCCCCTGCTTCAGTAAGAACCATGCCCCCAAGGTGATTGATGAAATGCCTAATCCAGTTTGTTCACAAAGTCAACTTATCTTATCCGAAGTTGGGAAACCCCAAATACATTTCATTTGCCGATCAAATCGATTTCAGATCACTGCAAACTGTTCGCACTCCGGAAAATGGCGATTGCTCGTGTGTTATTTATTCTCTTGGTAATGGTTCCTGTTAGTACATAGATACCTACATAGATACCGATGCTTTCTTTGGTGAATGATATTTTGTTTCTGTTGATTTATTTGATGGGGAAAATAAATAAATTGAAAGTGCGATTTTGTTTGCAGCGAAGACGGCGGATGATTGGATTTAGAAATGACGGATGATTTAGGAATGAAAGAGAACAAGCTCTTCAAAAATCAGTTAAGTTCGTGTTGTTGGTTTAAACCGCATAACGGTTACGCACGAATGCAGTACTAGTTGCATATAATATTACGATTTTGTAGATGCTTCAACAGCAGATGGATAACACTAGTTAACATATACTATCATCCTAAATTTCCACAGAACTATACATATGTTCTTATAAATTTGCATAAAATATATTAGATAAACGAGCACGAATTCCGTCGAATATAATATAAAATAAACCCGTCTCTTCGTTCAATTACTACTTGACTAATCTTATAAAACAACCCTTTCACTCTAAAAGAAAAAAAAGGTAAACATCACAAGAATCCGAAAGAAAGAAAAAAAAAATAGAGACTAAGAATTATCGCCCAAAAGAAATGGATCTACACAAACATGAAGAGTACTCATTATAAGTACAAAGCTAACGACAAACCCGATAGTCGAGGTAATCAGCGAACCCATAATCTTGCTGCAGAAATACGGCGTTATGCCACATAACGGCGCGCATCCTGCGTATATATTCCCGTGCCTAATTAGTGAGTATGTTTGCCAACCTACTCCAAGGCTTGTACCAACTAGGATATTCACAATCTGCCCAACACAATTATTTATCAAATTAATTCTTTTTAATGCAATCTAATTTCACAATTAAAAAAAATTAAATTAAATTAAGATGATTTTATAATTACCACATCTAGTACAATAACAGTTTTCCATAGCTGACTTCCAGAAGGTATTGCCATGACTAGACCATTGTATAACCATCCAATGCAGTTCACAACAAGACAAAACCTATCTCAACCCAAAATTGAAATAATTTGAATAAGAAATACAAATTAATAACTATAATAATAAATGGTATGAGCCAACTTTATTTTTATTAATTAATCCACCCAAAACATAAATTAATGCAAAAAAAATAAAATCATAACAAATATTTTTTCTTTACCTATTTTCTAATTTTATTCTATTTTATGCACCAAAAAAAAAATGCTTGCATTTTTTCTAGGGCACTGCCCCTTAACCCAAGAAATTAGATTTTACACCTGGTTATTTATACTTGGTGGATTTGAAAATTAGATTCTACAAATATTTACACACACTCATGCGTATGTGGACTTAGTGGATAGTTATTTAATCAAATCTACTGTTCGAATTCACCCGGTGTAAATAATCAGACGTAACATCTAACTCCCCTGAACCCCAAAAATTTAAGCCCAACTTGTAACAAAATCCGGAACTCGCCATCTGGTATAGTAAACAAAGAGAGAGAGAGAGAAACTTACAAGAAACCATTCCAATCGATGTATTTGACTTTGACCTTGATAGAATTTTGAACTTGAACCGTTTGATTGCTTAAAAACATGACAATGGACGCAATCAAGAAAGAGACAACAGCTAGTACTCTCAGTACAATTGTCTTCACAGGTTTTGCCATTGATTTCCCTTAATCTGCATAGTATAACCGTGTAAAAAATAACAGAAAAATTATTAATATTTTTCATTAGTAAACAGAAAACCGAAATTCAAGGAATGGTTAGTGAATTATTGAATTACCAAAATAATAATACAATATCTTCAAAAAAAAAAAATTTAAATAACTACTTAACAAAAGTGATACTGTACTATAATATTAAAATACATAAAAATTACAGTATTGTATTCATTATTTTACAGAATTTATGGAAGAACACCATTTCTTGTGCGTGCTTGTTCTACAATAATAATTAAAAAACATATTAGAAAACCACCTGTAGTTGGAGCTCTCACTACGCTTACACACGGATTTTTTTTTTTTTTTTTTGAAATTCTTTTCATGGTACACTCTATATATAAATAAGATAAGATTAAAAATAATGAAGGCTAACAAACAAAAAAAGAAAAAAGCCATGATGCGATGTAAAAGAATGTATGTGTGGTTTACCTCTCAGAATTTGTGCCAGTTGTAGATGACACTATTACGATGGAATATGAATGAAAAATGGTTAGGGCAGCAATTAATTTAATGGGTATTTAAATAAAAAAATTAGGTTTTGTTTAGATGGAAGTTTTTTGTTTTGTACCAATTGGTAAGCAAGGAAACTGCCATCCAATGTAAATCAACTTTTCAGTCGAGAGATCCTTTCTCTCATTTTAACCCCTTTTCCTTATATGCAATTTCATTTTTGTTTTTCTTCTACTGCCCCGGCCTTTTAATACGAAACGGCGTCGTTCTTTTCTTTTTCTTGTTCTTCCCAAGCAGCTTGACGACGACGATGTGTGCGACGTCGTTTCAGCGCCGCGGCTCCACAACTGGCACCGTTCGCCGCCAACATCACTTCACTTCCCACCTCTTTTTTTTGGAGACGCCTCCCTTTTCGACATATATATTTTCTCAATTCGAATTTATATAACTCTTCATACAAATCATGTGTCTTGTATGTTGTGTTTATCTATTTTTTCTTCAACTTTTATGACATAAATATGCTGTTCAGGATAAAGTTTTGAAAAGTACGAAATCAAAAACCTAATTTTTGACTTTTATGATCCAGGTGGTGATATTAGCTTCATATATATGTTTGTTGTGGAGAAATTATTTAAAAGAACGTCATATATACAAAATATTTTTTTTCCTTAGCTTCATATATTTCAGCTTCCATGTGCTTATTAAATCAGACTATTTTTGGCTACGCGGTACTACATATACTAAGTGTCTTATATTTTAGGTGTTGAGCATCGTATGTAAATATTGTTTTGAAAGCAAACTGTATCATCACTGTATGCATGTCCTTCCTTATTTGTGTTTGTGATTTTCAGTTTACAATTTACTCCTCTGGATTATGCTCTCGCTCGTTACTCACCATATGTTATATATATATATATATATCAATTTACTCCTCGGATAGTTTCTTGTGAAAACACCAAATTAAAACCCCTTTTCATGTAGAGAAAAATACCATTTAAAATCTCTACTCCCTTCCTCTTTTGTCGTATTTTAGTCTCAGTTATTTGTTTGAGTGAAGAAATTAAGCAACATGTTCAAACACTAAGGAAAATACCATACAAATCTTGTTTCTGCTTTGCTTTAGCACTTGGAGAATTAATATATGGCCTTGATTTAAAGCTCCTCTTCTGCGAAAAAAAGCATCCAGCGGTTGTGAGTGTCGGTTTCGGTTATCTCCTAACACAATTTCTGTTAGACTATGTTTAATTAATGTTAAAACACGTTTTGTTGATGTTGGGATGTTTTATATTTGTTAGGACATATTTTATGTATATTATCACTTATTTTATTTGTGTTACGGATTGTTTTCTAAATAGTAAGTACTAAATATATTTATTTTACAATACATGTAAAATCTTACGATGTTACGATCTGATTTTACGTTTCCGATTTTACTACCCGTCTACGATTTCACTTAAAATCCCGATTTTGACTACCTTGATTCACTCTATTTTCGTCCTCCTCTTCTTCTCAACCTCTTTTTTTTGCTTCCAAGTTGCCAGTTTTTATGCTCGCTTGCCCTGTGTTATTCTCCACTTATCTTTCATGATTTCTTTGCAGAGGAGGTATGCCCTTTGCAGGTTGCAATTCGAGGTTCCAAAATCCACCGTCAAGTTACAGGACAATTCAAGAGGCATGCCCGTGACAAGGTGCGTTTACGATCCCTTCATTGTTTTAGGCGGTGGGTTTCGGGTTTACGATTTGTTCGTCAAACTTTTCCCTGTTATTGATATTTAAATTTCTTTTTACGGATTGGATTGGTTTTATTGACGTTTTGTTAATCACTTTATGTTTTTCTACCTTTCTGAATTCCTTTATTATTTGTTGGTAGAATTAAATTAAGGGCTACTGATATTTTACACTATTTTCTTTTAGATTTGGCATTTGCCGCATCAATACTATATTACTATTATATTGATGTTTCTTGTTGGCATTTATTTTTTATAGCCGCTTTTATTCGGACGACTGAATTCTGAGATGGAGATGGGTTCGGCCACGTCTGTTGATGGCGCTACTCTGATGAGTAGCTTTGCGCGTCCGACGACTTCGTCAGCCGTTGGAGTTGTTTATATTTGTTTGATTTTTGCCTCTTATATTTCTATTTTTTTCTTACGATTTATTTTGGTTCGTTTAGGTTTTCGTCTTTGTTTTGCTTATTTGAATTTAACGCCTTTTTGCTATATTTTAGATGTTTGTAGAAATTGTACTGAGTCCCGGTGAAGGAAAAAATTGGGGGAGCTTGTTCGAGTGCCAGGAGCTGGGATTCTCATTAACTTAATGACTTCTTGTCTCTGTTACTCTATGTGCTTTATTTTTTATTGAATCTATTTTTATCAGTTCCGAGATTAGGGATGTTTATTGTGCTCAAAATTTTGTTTATGTTTTTTTTTCAAAATTGGGATGCCGATGCCAACAGGTTTGCTCTGATTCAATTTTTCTCCACATCACTTTTTTCTTTCTGTTTGCTTTAATCTGGCCCCATAAAATGCGTCTATAATTCTTGAATTCCATACGTGTTTCTTGGCTCCTTGTTGAATATTTTTAGCGGTGGCGGGTCAAGCCCTTGACCGGCGCCAGCTCTTCGCCCCCATCTGGATGCATATGGGCTCAACTTTCACTTTTGAGTATCAATTCATAAAAACGCACAATCGATGCATGTTTATTGTTTTCTGTGGTTTATATAAGAAGTTTATTATGTGTTTGTGTTTACCTTTTCATTTGTCATAGGTTGCTGATAGAGTTTAGGCCTTTTTTAGTTGTGCGGGATTTTTACAGAAATTTTGGACTGGTATACATTTATTTATCTTTGGATGTCTGTAATTTTAAATTTGTATTAAAATTCTAAGTTGAAATTTTTGAACCCTTTTTTCTCCTTTCATTTGTTGTGGAACGCACAAGAGAATTTCCAAAGGGAGAAAAGAGGCACGAAAAAAAACGCGAGTATTTATTCTTTTAAGGCATACTACGTCGTCCAGTTAGAGAGGTTTGGAAGTTGTCTGCTTTGCACAATGATCCATTACAAGACAAATTCCTGCAGTACCCCTTCACTAACTTCGTATCTAAAAAAGGCCACAGCTATATTTATTTCTTTATTTCAAACTTTAGGCTACTGGTTTCATAAGTGTACCTATTATCGTTATGAGAGATCCCCTTTGGTGTCAAATTTGCAATTTGGGTGGGGGCATGAATGAATAAATTGAACCATAAGATTTATTTTACTAATCGACTCCAACGTGGATCTCTCTTGCAATATCCGAAAATATCCGCCACCAACGCAGCATGCTTCGACTCCTCCTCGGCTGTAATTGCGTGTGACTCGTTTACGAAAATTCGCAATACCGAGCTTAAAATCTTATGATTCACTGTTCAAATTTTACGATTTAATTCATTCATACCTATGTCGATTCAAATGTTAAAATAAATCTTATATATCAACAAATCGATCAAATTTTACGATTTATGATTTAAGAAAACTTTGATTTATTATATTCTTTATAATAAACTTGGGATAATTACAATTTTAGTCCCTATATTATATACCATTGTTAATTTTGGGCCTTAAATCGGAAATGCCTTCCAAGTGGGGATCAATTTGTAATTTATGGAAATCCAACCTCTTGGCTGAAACAGTTCTGAAAATTGCAGAATAACCGCTATACTTACTCCATCTTCCTAGCCGCTCTACCCAAATTGCAAATTTGACCCCAAAGTGGATCTCTCTTGCAATATCAGAAATATCCACAACCAACGCAACATGCTTCAATTCATCTTAAGCTATAATCGCGTGTAACTCATTTACGAAAATTCGCAATACCAAGCTTAAAATCTTATGATTTACGATTCAAATCTTACGATTCAATTCATGCATACCTATGTCGCATGCTTCGACTCCTCCTGAGCTGTAATCGCGTGTGACTCATTTACGAAAATTCGCAACACCTAGCTAAAAATCTTATGATTTACGATTCGAATCCTACGATTTAATTCATTCATACCTATGTCGATTCAAATGTTTAAATAAGTCTTAAATATCAACAAATCGATAAAACTTTATGATTTACGATTTAAGAAAACTTTAATTTATTATATTATTTATAATAAACTTGGGATAATTACAATTTTGGTCTCTATATTATATATCATTTTTAATTTTGGTCCTTCAACCGGAAATGCCGCCCACGTGGGGGTCAATTTGTAATTTCTGGAAATCCACCTCCCTGCCTAAAAAGTTCCGAAAATAAATCTTAAATATCAACAAATCGATAAAAAATTTATGATTTACGATCTAAGAAAACTTTAATTTATTATATTATTTATAATAAACTTGGGATAATTACAATTTTGGTCTCTATATTATATATCATTTTTTTAATTTTGGTCCTTCAACCGGAAATGCCGCCCAAGTGGGGGTCAATTTCTAATTTCTGGAAATCCACCTCCCTGCCTGAAATGTT